GTCTAGTTGAGGGTTCCCTAGTTTTTGCATAGTAGGTATTTGAGCAATAAGGGCTTAAAAGATGTCTGTTTATGAACTCATCTTGGGATGCTTCTATGAATATTCTCCAGCCTCTTTTAGAGCTATCAAAGCCTATGTAATGGTCTTGAAATTGTCTCCGTGAAAGATGAATTTTAGTGGATTAATTTGAGTCAACAGAAGGAATGCAAAGCATTCCCACCTGGGTGATCACCTGGAATAAAATTATGTTTAGGCAAAATCTGGCTTTCCTTATGAGCCTCCTACACAGGCTCTGAAGACATTTTCCCAATTTCATTTAATAATGGCAAAATAATTGGAGTACTTAACTTCCCTGAGGAGGCATCTCCTTCTATTTTTAAAACTTCTTTGTGTAAGTTAAATGCAGGCTTACATAACAAACCACGATTTTTACAGTGAACAATTCATACGCATAATGTTTCAACTCATCCCTTCAATATCCCATCACTTATTCCACTTCCTCTCTTCGTTTCCTACTTCTGTTCCTCTGTGTTGGATAAAAGCCTGCCCCTTTGTCTTAGACCATTGACTAATCTAACTTGGGAGTGCGTTTCACGCCAGTCATTAAAAAGTGACTAAGGGCAACAATAATCTTGGGATTCTACCACTCTATCCAACCATTAGGCCTGGTCTCTATTATGGCTTTGAGATTGTTTTCCCTTACATTTTCCTTACTGTTCTATCCGAGCCCTTCTAATATGATCTATTTCAGAGCAGGTTGTTGTGGTCCACAGGCACCATCTAGTTCATCTGGTCTCCAGGTGGTGCAGGTTCATGTTTGTTGGGTCATCGGTTTCCTGGATTAAATATTTCCATGTATCTTTTGATTTTCGTCATCCTTCTTCCCTCTGGCATAGAGAGGTCAGTATTGGACCTCCGGAGCTGTTAAGATCCAGTCACCACTCACCAAAGTGGTAGCTGATCTATCTTTGTGAACTATGACTTTGGTGCCCCTGAGACTATGGTCATGATCCCCCAGGCCCATGACTTACTCATTGAGAGGCATTTCTGAAGTCATTGATTTGGATGTATAACTAGCCGTCCATTAGTTTAAAACTATCAACTCCTCTTACTTTAACCTTGTACCTCTCCTCCCTTCTCAGAGGCTCCTCATCCCCTCTTTAAGGCGTCTGTTTGCCAGTCAGATACCTGGATTTCCTTATTACACCAGAAAACAGAAAGCCAAACAGTGCAGTGAGAACTGCAGGTAACGAAGAAGGTCGGAAGATTCCATGCACCACACCCAGGTGCGGAATGCACTCTGAGATGGTTCCACCCTCTGATGCTTACGGAGGGAAAGGGGCCGAGAAGAACGGAGTCTGTATGCACGTTCCTAAAAGCCCCTAGGACTGAGGGGTCGGGTGGAGAGCCTGTTTCCACAGTGCAGTGAAGCCTGCCGCTCACTCTGATCTTATTGTCTGGCTGTTCACTGCTGTTTGATATTGTCTTTTGTTTGATTCCCCTACATCTTTCTCCAGCTTGGCTGCCCTAGCTTTCTACTGCTCAGACGCTCCTTGGCTGAGCCCTTTCAGACAGAGCCGTGGAGTGCTTCAGGGAATGGGTGCAGGAAGTAGAGCCAAGCCCACATTCAATTCTGGTTTTCCAACTCTTGGTTTCAGCGCTTTGGGAAGCAGTCTTAACGTCCCAAGCCTTGATGTTCCCATCTGGAAAATGAGGATAATAAGAATGCCTACTTTACAGGATTCTGGGTGGATTGTGTAAAGTGTTTTACTCTTAAGAAGAAGCCAGTAGAAGTTCAAGTCTTCCTTAATCTTTCTTTCAGGCCATCATTTTACTCTTCTGCCAACTGCCTTCACCCTTGTAGCTTCTCCCGTCCAGATTCGTGTTCTCATTGTCTCCTTACAGCAGTGAACTGGGTCCTTTCTCCTGCTGTTTGCATAATCTTATCCATCTTGCTTCTTTGATTTTTCACTCCTATAGATATTTTTTCCTTGATTTTTATCTATGGTATTTTATGCCTTTATTGTTTTTCCCCCTTCAAATCAGTTAACAATTATTAACTGAAAGAGAACTTCAGATAGGCTTCTCTTTGATCCCATATATTCCAATGAGGCGTGTGTGTGTGTGTGTGTGTGTGTGTGTGTGTGTGTGTGTGTGTGTTCAGTAAGCAGCTTCCTCCAGTGGAGCCATGGTGCATATTCAGCTTTTGTTCTTAATCTCCAAGAAATTCAATAATGGGATGAATTTAGACCACCTTTCCTTTCTGGCCCAGGAGACCTTTAGGACATTGCTCTTTTTCGATTGTGTAATTTATATTCAAAGCCCTTTACCCTTCTCAGAGGTTGTTAATGAGGCCCCAGCTGGAGTCTAATGCTGATGGTTGCAAACTTTACCATTCTTCTTTGGAAACTTCATCACTAGTGATGTATTTCCCACTTAGCTCTTGAACAAGATGGGTCATGCTAAGCTGAGTCCAAGCTTTCCAGAATGGAACTAGTGTGTTGGGCAGCCCAGAGAACCCAGCTGGACTTCTCCTCCATGCTTATCTCTCATTACTATCTGCCCCACTATTTCTGAATTAAAAGGCAGGGTCTTCGTATCTTAGCACCATAGTTTCACCTTTTGTTAACGTAGTTAGGTCCCTTCTAATATAAACACAAAGTAGGTGACCCTTTGTTCCTAACAGAGTACTTCATGATGGACAGCATTGTAGATTTGATGCTGGGTGCAAGGCATGAGCTCTTCCATTCCAGTTTATCAAGAATGCATTTGATACTTTAGTATCTAATGCCAACACAGTAAAGAATATGAGGTGAATGGCCAGGTTTTCAGATGTCTAAACACTATGATTTAATGAATAAGCAAGAGAAAGTGCAAATTTGCCATATTTACATACAGGAGTATACATAATTATATTTTATATGCTACAAATGTATTCATGGATATAAGAGAGTACATGGGGAGGGGGAGTTCTGAAATCTTCTTAGCCAGGAACAGGCACCTTGGGAAAATGAGTAACTGGGGTTGGAAGTTTAGGACTACCGTTTGGGGAACATCTAGGTGAGTTGATATAATCCACAAAGACAGTGTTCTACCGTCTACTTTTATGAGTAGTGACTGGGTTGCTGAAAGCTTGGGAGTGACCCTGTAAGCTGAAACCATGGGTTTCTCTCTGGGACAGACAGGTGAAGAAAATCAAAGACTCATGGCAACAGTTGATCCAAAGGGCGACTGGAACATGAGAACCACAGCCTCCACTCCCCTCAGATCAGAACTCAACAGTATCTAGGTACAAGAGCTAGTTGCGCTGATCAGGACCACAATAGAAGGTCCTGAGCAGAGTAAGAGGAGAAACGGTGTAAAATGAAATTCAAAATCGATAAGAAAGACTAGACTTATTGATCTGTTACAGACTGGTGGAACCCTGGACCTGTGGGTCTTCGATTTCCTTCAAACATGAAATTGAGTGAAATGGAGATGTGGACGAGCTCAGCTCAATGGGAGCATGAGATTCCCCTCCACCACCTCCTCCCCTGCCTTTCTCACAGCCCCTTCCTGGGTCCTCCCTGATTAGCATGGGCTCTTCTTCCATTGTTACCCACTCACCAGAGACCTTGACTAAACCAGTCAACCAGGTGCTGTGGAATTGAGTGATGGTGATCCTATGTGTATCAGAATACAGCTGTGCTTCATAAGGGTCCAATTTCTTGTTTACTTTTAACTGTTTTCATTGGCATATACTCCATGTATGTACAATTCAATGGTCGAAATGTATTTCAAAGAGCTGTACAATCATAACCACAATCAAATTTTAATCATTTTCTTCATTCTTGTGTCTATTGTTTTTAGCGCCGCATCACCCCCCAACTGCCCCTGTCATAAACCTAAGGATGAAGTAGTAATTTAATTACTGTCTCTGTAGAATTACTTATGCTGAATTTCATATCGAGAAAATCATACGATGAAAACCCCATCAACAATAACAAAATAAAGCACAGATAATCTTTAAGCCACAAGAACGTAGAAAATAATAAACACATCAGAGCAAAACCAAATCCATGCTTTTGAGTCGATGCCAACTCATAGTGGTCCTGTAGGACAGGTAGAGCTGCCCTGTGAGTTCCCAAGACCAACTCTTTAAGGGAGTAGAAAGCCCCGTCTTTCTCCTGAGGACTGGCTAGTGATTTCAAACTGCTGACCTTGTGGTTAGCAGCCCAGTCCATAGACACCACACCGCCAAAGACCGTATCATAACAAACAGTAGAACAGGTTAAAAATGGGTCAAAAGGAAAAACCAATGGAAAGATGTTCAATTGTGAGCTAACTGTGTCTGCAGTAATTCATTTCCCAATGCACACTGAGAACAAAACTTCACATATCTGGTCAATGGGCTGAGGAAGTTCAATGGAAATGTAATCCATATGGGGCCTCTGCAAATGGACTTTGCACTTTCATTGTCATCCATCCAATGGCCAATTTGGGGAAGTACAATGCCAGGCCTTTCTTCTGAGGCACCTCTAGAGGGGTCTTGATGCTTTTACCTTTCGGTTAGCAGCCAAACTCATTAGCCATCCATCATAACCCAGCTTAACTGTAGCTTAAGATGAAGCGGTGGTTAATTTAGCAGCTCCCTCCCACTGCTAGGCAATAAGGTGAAGCCATATTTGAGGACAATTTTATTACCAGTTCCCACCAAAAGAAAGAAACAAACAAACCCACTGCCAACGATTCTGATTCATAGCGACCCTTCATAGGGTTTTTTGTAAATCTTTACAAGAATAGGCAGCCTCATCTGTTTCCAGCAGAGTGGTTTATGAGTTTGAACCTCGAACCTTATGGCTAGAATTCCAATGTTTACCCAACAGAGTCGCCAGTTCCACAATGGGGCCCGTGCTTAGCCTATACCGAGGACCGCTGCTTCCCCTCAGACCATTATCCATGCTCCTCACAGTGCACAGTCTGACCAAAGTGACGGGGCCTGTATGCTACCTTCTCTCTAGCTGCCATATCAATCGGATCTTGGAGTCCCCGAGGGGCAATGCTCTGCTGGTTGGTGTCGGGGGGAGCGGCAAGCAAAGCCTGACAAGGCTTGCAGCTTTCATCAGCTCCATGGATGTATTCCAGATCACACTGCGGAAAGGTTACCATATCCCTGACTTCAAGGTAAGAAGGTCAGGCAAGTGGGGACAAGATGTGGCTCCAACTGCCTCCCACCCCCTTCAGCCACCCTTCTTTCTTCAACTTCTTCCGAAGAACCTATTTGCTTCTTAGATGCTAGGCTGGTGCAGTGAGCGTCTCTCTTCTCGTTAGGCACAGCCTGAGACAGGAGGCCTTTCCAAAGGCTGCCTTTCTTAGGCTTCAGCTGCCCCAGTTATACCTGTGGAGCCTCGGCGGTGCTCACCCTAACCAGACACAGATCTATGCTGCATTTGGCACATGGCTTTCTCGCAGCTCCAGTAGATGCAGAAGTAGTGAGAAGAGGATTTCCGCCTGCCTGCCTGCCTGCCTGCCTGCCTAAGTTTTAGGCGTGTTTAAAAGATGGGTCTGTTACCCCTAACCCCTGGGGCCATTAGTGACCTTTGCTTGTCTAAGACTCCATGCACTTAGGAACCATAATGTATTCCCTGGAAGGTGGAAGAAAGCATTATATATAACCTTCAAAGGTCACTTTGTCCTGTCCCCTCCCTTTTATACATGGCCACAGCAGGGAACCATGGCGTCATTTCCATCAGGATGTTCCCCATGTCCCTGGGAGAATTCCAGCCAGTTCTGTGCCAGACCTCCCCCACCCCCACCTCGGCCCCCTCCACCCTCAAATCGCCCGTCCAATTAGATGAGAGGGAGACGCTCCCTGCAGCTCTCAAGGCATCTGCTCTAAAGAACTGGCTGGATCTAAGGCCATGCACCAAATTCACTTTCCATCCCTCTGTAGCACTTTTCCAAGAAGGCAACAACATATGGGGATTATGCATTTACAGAATGATTTAGAATAATAGTTTTCAAACTTAGTGATATGCTGGATTCACTGGGGATCTTCAAAACCATAGTGGTGCCCACAGCCCAGCCTCAGAAATTCTGATTTGACCAGATGATGGTTTGAGCATCTGAATTTCCCGAAGTTTCCCCCATATCAGTGGTTCTCAACCTTCCTAATGCCGTGGCTCTTTAATACAGTTCCTCATGTTGTGGTGACCCGCCCCCAACCATAAAATTATTTTCGTGGCTACTTCATAACTATAATTTTGCTACTGTTATGAATCGGGTGACCCCTGTGAAAGGGTCGTTTGACCCCCAAAGGAGTCACGACCCACAGGTTGAGAACCGCTGGCCCAGATGATTCTAGTGAGAATTGAGCAACATCGACTTAGATAATTCTATAAATGTATAAGATTGAGGACATTGATCTAAAAGGAGGCTCATCATCTTTAGAGTGGCATTATTTGGGTGCAAAGGAAGCTCCGGTATAAGCAAATATCTGAGGTTGTTTGGGAATGAGCCTTTGGTGATATGAGAGAGAACAAGATGAGGAAATAGTGGCTGAGCTTGGTAAGTTATTCAGCCAAGTAACTAAGATTGACAAAGCTGGATAAATTCAGAGTGTGGAATCTTACCCCAAACTTCATCGATCTAAGTTCTGAATGGATATGAATTCCAAAGTCTTACCATGGGAGAGGGAGAGGGAGAGGAAGGGAGAAAGAGAGAGAGAGATCTCCCCAATATTTTCTTTGGGGAAATAAACCTTTAACTGGAGTGAGTCATAAGTATATAAGACACTTCTAAGCTAAAATGCATTCCTCCTTCAAGCCTGTAGCTCCCATTACATCCCTCTTCGGTACAGATGAAGAGCACTCGCCTGTCTTTTTGAGCAGGCCATTATCTCATGAAGGTAAGTAGAACAGGTGACTAGGGGACCACATTGGTTCTTTGGAAAGCATCACCGCTTTGCACAAATCCAGGGATCCAGAAGCCGGAGCAGGACCCACAGTGGGTATATGACTGAAAGAGCATCACTGTGTAGTTTCACCTGTACACCTTGATGAGGCATGTTCTCTTGCCCATTCAGTGCAAAACAGCATTCCTCTTTGCCTTTACTACTGGGTTGCTCTTATTTCCGGTTAAAGTCGGGTTGTATTGTTTGTTTCTTTGTTTGTTTGTTTTTATGGTTCTGTTCTTAAAGGCTGAGTTGACATCTCACCCAAGAAGCTTCTCTTCTGAGAGATGTCCAATGCTGATTTTTCTGCAGGTGGACCTGGCCACCCTGTGTCTCAAAGCCGGGGTAAAGAATGTCAGCACAGTATTTCTCATGACTGATGCCCAGGTGGCTGATGAGAGGTTCCTAGTGCTCATCAATGATCTCTTGGCATCAGGTAAGACACTCTGTTTACTTTAGTGTCTCTAAAATATGCCCCATGGCATTCAAGGCATGATATGGTGGAAAGTTGATCCACAGTCAGCAGGTCCAGGTCACAGAAGTCAGAGGAAAACTGAAGGAGTGAAGGTCAAGGTTATACAAAGCCATTCTCTAGGTTGGTTCTGCGTCTCTTGTCCACGCTCCTTCGTTCTCTCTTCACTGCACAACAAACAGTCATGTTGAGGGTCTTTTTATGAATCTAAAGATGGGATGAAGACAGAATTCTAGTGACCTACTGAATCCACCGACAAGATGGTGCTTCTCCCTAAGCCGAGACAGAGACTCAAGGGTGTCCACAGTGTTTCAATAGACCAGGCATTGCAGAGAGAACAGAGAATGAGCATGATAGAGTAACATCAGGCTATCCCTTTCATTAACCAAAGATTCAGAATCTTAGGGAAGCAACTTGGTGCTCAGGGCAGACCACACCAAACCAAACTCACTGCCATGGAGTCAACTCTAACTCATAGAGACCCGTTAGGACAGGATAGAGCTCCTCTTGTGGGTTTCTGACATTGTAACTCTATGTGGGAGGAGAAAGCCTCTTTTTTTCTTATGGAGCAGTTGGTAGTTTTGAACTACTGACCTTGAGGTTAGTAACCCATTGCATAATCCACTACAGCACTTAGGGCAGAAGCAGATGCAGAACATCTCAACATAATTGACCTTGGTCCTCAAAGACCTTGAGAGAGGGAGAGGTATCACTTGCCCTCTGACATTGTCTGTACAGTGTCGAACTACATGCAGAGTTCCATTCGTGTTAGTTTGATGTCCTTGTGCATTTAGGGAGCCCTGGTGGTATAGTGCTTACAAGTTGGACTGCTAATTGCAAGGCCAGCAGTTAAAAACACCTCGGGAGAAAAACGGGGCTTTCTACTCCCATTAAGAATTACCCAAAAAATGATAAATTTTCAAGGATTCATGAGGGAGGGAGGTTGAGGGAAGGTGAAAAATGAGCTGATACCAAGGCTCGAGCATAAAGAGAATGTTTGAGAATGATGATGGCAACAAATGTACAAATGTGCTTGACACATGGATGGATGGATGGATTGTGATAAGAGTTGTACAAGCCCCCGATAAAATGATTAAAAAACAAAGAGTTACAGTCTCAATCCTCTCAGATCACAGTTGAGGGATGTGTAGAGCCTATTACTAGACAGAGAAGATTGCAAAATCAGTTATGATGACCGACATAGTTAGGTTAAGAGTAAATATCATTTAATCTCCCTTTTGACCCATCTTAAAGTGGTTTCAGTTTCGTTTTGTTTTGTTTTTAAGTGACGGGGAAATCCATGTGGAGTAAACTCCTGGTGAATCCCCTCTGACCTGGACCAGAGGTGCAAATAGCCTTGCTATCATGCGGGAGGCATTGGGATGCGGATTGGTACAGATGTGGTTAGGTTAAAATTTGGTACCCTATCGTTTGATCTACTTTGAGTCATTTCTGTTTGTTTCAGTTTTCAGTACGGGCTTCTTTCTTTCCCATTGAGGTTCTTATCTGTTTTACTTAGTTATTGTTAGGGTTTCTGTTCAGTTGTTTGCTTGTTTGGGGTTGTTTGGAGTTTTTGTTTTTGGGGGGCTTTTTTTGCCTGTTTGTTTTGTTCTTAATGTTTATTCTGTATATGAAATCCAGGATAGGTGTAGCTATAGAGACAGTAACTGGAGTACTATCTCTGGTTCCTTAGGGGCATGGCAAGGGAAGAAAATTAGGTGCTAATAACGATGAGTACATGAAAAAAGACAATGTTCTAAAACTTATTGTGTTGATGTGATTGAGCTATTGAATTGTATGATGTGTGAATTATATGCCAATAAAAGTGTTGGGGGGGAGAGGCTACAGTCTCAGAAACTAACAGGACAGTTCTACCCTGTCCTATAAGATCTCTGTGAGTTGGCATTGACTGGATAGCAACTGTTGGCATCAACAGTGAGTTTGTTTTGGAGTTTTCTGGTTTATGTATTTATGGATTTGGAAATTATGCCAACCATTCTGATATATTGATATAGATATGCATATCTAATATATGTTTGTTTGTTTGCATAATACTATACGTAGTACATGTTTATTACATAGAGAATGAATTTATTTCCCTTAGAGAGAGAGAGAATATGCTTCCCTGGCTCTTAAATCAAGTTCACTCTTTACAAAATCAGCTCTCATCTGGGCCCAGAAAATAAAGTCAGTGAGTGGATGTCTCTGGAAAAAATGTCTGCCTCTGACTTTCCAGCGTTTCAGAGCCCATTTCTCCACAGTCCAGCCTGACGCTGATTGAATCCCCTCCAAGGACCACGTTCACAAATCCATCTCCCGCTGGTCTACCCCAAGCCAGATGTATTATATTTCTCCTGTGTGGCTCCTGCCATGTGACCCTCAGGAACATCACTGCTTCAGAATCATGGTCTGCTCCATGTTGTCGCCATTGCACTCAGCCCTTTTATTGCCCCTTTCCTGAGGAGGCACTGGTCCCTGCTCCAGGTCTCCTCACGGAGAGCTGGTCGCTCCCTTCACCTCATTTCTGACAAAGGTCCAGGGCTCCTCCTGTTGGCGACTCCAAGCATAACCGCGCCTCTCCTTCATTTATTTTCCTGTTGCTTCTTATAGCCAGGAGTGTGCTATTGACTCGTGGGCTTTTTCTCTTCCAATTCAATCGGTTTTCCATTTCCCAATATTGTTTCGTGACAGACCATCATCTACCATAGCAGTATTTCACTCACAAACTTTTCTCACCTTTGTATTATTTGACTAAAGAAGAGAGAGAGGGGCCCAGCTATCCTTCCAGGCTGAAACTGTTCAGTCGAGTCTGATTTCTAAACAACTAACGAGGGAGAAATGGCTCTCTCAAAGCCTTGCAGAGGCCAGGCATGCTGCCAGCGTCACCTGTATCTTGCTTGTCTCCAATCCAGCCCGGTCACCTTCTTCTAAAATAAGATCTGATTACAAGGATCTATATATAACCTCCTCCCTGGGGGAAGGACAACAGAAAAGTGGGTAAAGGGAGACATCGGACAGGGTAAGATGAAAAAATAATAATAATTTATAAATTATCAAGAGTTCATGAGGGATGGGTGGTGGGGAGGGAGAGGGGGAAATGAGGAGCTGATACCAAGGGCTCAAGTAGAAAGCGAATGATTTAAGAATGATGAGGGCAACAAATGTACAAATGTGATTGACACAATGGATGGATGAATGGATTGTGATAAGAGGTGTACAAGCACCCAATAAAATGATTTTTTTTAAAGTTCAGTCCTCAACTAACATCTTTTTTTTAATTTTCCATTTCAATGTTTTTACGTGCAAGGGGACATTAATTTCACTCACTTTGTTATGCAACCATCACCACTATTTCCAAATATTTCCATAACCCTTACGAGTTAGTTTTTTTAATTTAAAGGCCAACTTTTTCCAGTGAAAATTAATTTCTAAGACACTACCTGAGGTAGTTAGTTTATTGTACCATCCTGGCCGATAAACACATGGGATTAATTGAAGGGCGGAGGGAGAAATGGCTCGGTGACCCTCGCCTTTCTAGTTCTCGGGTCTCTTATTTTCTGATGGTCGGACCAGGGTGCAGCTGCCTTAGCCAGTTCCCTGCTTCAGCTGGCAAGGCTCACTGCCTGCAAGACATCCCTGAGGAGAAGCCACGTGAACCTACCCCAATGCAGCCCTGGGTGCTGGAGCACCCGTGTGGAGACCCCTGCCAGTGCTGAGATGTTTACACGTTCACTGACTCGGCATCATAGTGAGTGTTTTGTGAGATGGAGCAGGATTTGTGGATTGGTGTCGGACATGTTAATGGGTTAATGTTGGACTTGTGGGCTTGAGCAGCACTGGATTGGGATGTTTTCTTGATGTGCACTTACCCTTTATATAAAACTCTCTCTTATGCATGAGTTTCTGTAGATTTGTTTCTCTAAAATTCCCAGACTAACACACTACCTAATGGATGCAGTCAACGTATGCCAAATCCAAGCTCTTACTTCCCTTCCATGACCTCAACCTAACATATGCCTGTTAAACCTGAGATAGTCAAGAAAATATTTTCTAATCTTCTTCCTTTTATATTACCCACATGCATAGTAGAAAAAGTAGAACATAGCATCGTTCTCATTCTGTCAAATATAAATCATTTCATCTTGACTTACAGTATATCAGAAGTTGCTAGGATTCCCAAGAAGTTCCTGAAGACCTTGGTTTTTGTTTGCTTGTTTGTTTTTAATTGGGGGGGGGGGAAACAGATGAAATAACCCACTTCCCACTGGCTAATGCAGTAAATACTAGGCAACTGCACCCCTGGGTGACAACTTTAGCTTTAGCTCATCCGTTTCTAGTTGTCTGCAAGCTCTGTTAGGTTGAAGATACAAAGTAGAGTGCTCAAATTCCACTGACTCAACGCTCCTCCAAACAAGCATCCTTCTCGGTGCCTCCGTGATCTGATATGTGTCAGACGGTCTGCTTTCCAGCCAAGCTTCTTCCACTCACTGTTTCATCCCTTGTTTCTAACACCATTTCCCAAATCAAACCATGAAGGTCTGGAATCTTCACATAAACCCACGTTCCCACGCCAACTGAAGCATGGTAGACCCCATTTTCATGCCACTGCACCTCAAGTGGGTCACAGAGTAAACAGGAAGAGATCATATCCACAGTGTGTGAGTCTGGGTGCTTTAGAGAAACCAATCCACAGAAACTCATGCATAAGAAAGAGTTTTATATAAAGGTTAAGTGCGCATCAAGAAAACCCCCCAACCCAGTGCTGCTCAAGCCCACAAGTCCAACATTAACCCATATGTCCAACCCCAATCCACAAAGTCCTCCTCCATCTCACAAAACAGATGCAATGATTCTGACTTGCAGGAGGAAAGCCGAGTCAGTGAATGTGTAAGCATCTCAGCGCTGGCAGGGGTCTCCACACAGGTGCTCCAGCACCCAGGGCTGCATCGGGATGTTTTGCAGGA